CTAGTGTCTTAATAAAATAACTTCCTCTTACAATAACTACTATTCTTTTCTAATTGCTCACTGCACGTTTATCTAGTCCCATCGAAGTTTTTGCTGTACTTTGGTTCTGCTCAAATTTTGGTTACAGTGATCGTCAGGAAGAGTTGGTCAAATTTTTGATAACTATTGTAATTAAATTAAACTATTTAGCTAATTTATTTATTTAAAATCTTTTTAAGCAATACAAACAAAATAAATTAGTTTTATAATATATAGTAAGATGAAAATATTGAACCCGGCTATCTGAAAAAATTTTTTATATAAATAAATTTTTATACAATATATAAAGTTACTTTATACAGTATATTTATTTAAATATTACAAAATTGATATCAATAATTAAGCTAGCTACTTCGGTTCAAATCGATAATATAAATGCACATTATATATTGCTTTATTATCTAACTCCATTTTGTAAAAGTAAACAAATTAAGCATAATTTATATAAAAAGATTTTGAGAATAAATGAATGCCTTATTTTTATTTGTTTAACTTTTTATTTTCATAATCATCTATCTCAACAGATTTTTGATAACCTTATTTAATTCTTTTCAGTATTAATTCCATTTGAATAACAATTTTAGCTCGAAATAATCTATCAGTATCCATAGTATTTTACCAACAATCACTTCATAAACACCACATTTGTCACTAACAAGTTCATTTTACCTACAGTCTATTTCACTGAAGCTCATTTCGCTGACAAGTTTTTTTATAAATTACACTAACTTTAACTCTAATTCTAACCTGACCATAATGATATTAACTTTGTCTGCAAAATGAAATAAGCTGTCAGTAGTGAGTTGATCGGATCCCTTAGTGGAAATAGTATATATATAGTATTGTTATAAAAAAATTTGTTAGTTAATAATTAAGATAAATTAAAATGTTTTCATATCTAGCCGGTGTTATGCCTAGAACTTTTTTCTTTTTCTTTATTATTTTATCAGTATTATTTTATTTGGGCATATGTAGTCTGGGAAAATGATTATCGTGGCGTATTGAAGCCTATGGAGTTAAAAGCTTCCAAGAGCCCTCTTAGGGAGTCAAAAGCTCTCCAAGGAAGTTTAAAACTCCAGATTAAATTCACGAATTATAAGAGTGTGGTTTCAGTCTGCGAAGAGAATACTATTTTGTTGAATGATTGTTGTTAGTATTTAGTATTATTGTAATAATCTGATGTATTGATTTATGCTAATAAAGAGAAACCCTATAACCTGTAATTATGTGTTAGTTTATTAATTTAAACCATTTAACCTTAATCACTATTCACCAAAAATCACTTCGTGGATCCTATATTTCACTGACAATTACTTATTGCTGTACTGACAAGTTTATTTCACCGAAGCTCACTTTACAGACAAAATAATTCTGGTTAATATCATTAGGATTAGAGTTAAAGTTAGTATAATTTATAAAAAAACTTGTTGGTGAAATAAGCTTCAGTAAAATAGACTGTTGGTAAAATGAACTTGTCGGTGAATAATTGTTGATAAATGTGTGGTGTATATGAAGTGATTGTCAGTGAAATAATATGGATCCATGTTGTCTAGTATCACCATCAAAGTTAATTACGTAATCGCTCTTTAAATTTCAATCTCACAAGATTTTTGAAGAAATAATCGAAGTTTTTTTTTTATTAACTTATTATTTAATATCACTACAAGTTCTAAGTCAAATTATATTCAATTCAAATGTATAGAATGCATTTACATTCAAATTCTGATTATTATTTTGAAATATAGTTTTTTGTTTCATAATTCAATAAGATGGATAGTTGCGCATATTCTATTTTAGACAATATTACGATATTCAAAGAAATAAAAATTTTCATCGTAAATTGTTAATATTATTCCTATATATATTATTAATCAAATGTTGACATTATTGTATTAATTATTAATTTTAATATCGGGCAATAAATAGGTGGGTCGAGTGGATGTAAAATTTAAATCAATAAAAATAATTCTATAAAAAAAAGTAAATGGGATTCTTATTCATCAAATTACTTTATAGACAATAAAATCATTGCAAATATTAAAGACAGATTTGCTTTTCACGAAATTAGCTACTATTTCAACAAATATTTGTGATGTATGCGCTAAGTGGATTCAAAATAAATTTTAAGTTGATACGAAATTCTTTAACAATTTGAGTGAATTTAAGATTTTGTTTCAACTTTAAGTGTATTTAGAATCAACTTATGTTAATTCTAAATCTACAAAAATTCTATTCTGACATACAATTTATATACGAAAAGAAAACCTTTTATAATAATCGAGGTTTATTTATAAAATTGATAGAATAATTTGTAAAATATAACTTTATTTGCATTTCAAAAAACAATAAAGCCAAAAATAAGAAATAAAAAATAAAAAATAAAAAAATAGATTTACAATCGTAAATTTACTACATAGATGGCTTTGTACAAGTAAGATAATTAACTTTGTAATTTCATTTCACTTTTTTGTTTGTGAAACAAGGTTTTTCAACATAATGCCCATGGCTGCAACCATAGTTTAATGTAAAGATACCCTTAAAGATCGTGAAGAAAGTGTTAAGTTGTTTAATATTGGATATAGATTGATATAGGAAATAATTATAATAAATTATATTAAATATTAGATAAGAAAGATATTTGTACATGCGAAATTTAATATCACTTACTTATTGTAAAATTTCATTGGTTTCAATGACTTTTCTAAGAGTGCAAACAAACAATGGTGAGGACAAAATGCGTGAAAAAAGATACTGAAGTTGAGTTTTTGAATTTGTATGATCGGCTGAATGACAATTAAGAACGTCAGCAGCATCTAGAGCTTCTGCATTTGCATCAGGCTCATTAGGCTCATCAGGTTCATTCTCATCTTCATCGACATCGATCTGAGTTCATTCTTTAATAATTAATGGCTAATCCATTAAGTCTTCATCGATATCACTATTATCAAAATCACTATTTTCTGTACTAGAATTATCATCGTCACTAGCAGTCTCTTCAGTAATATCTTCGTCGTCAAGCATTAAAGTATGATTATCATCGGTAGGATCAGCTGTATTAGATTTAGTTTGTTGCTTAGTTGGAACAAATGCATGTTTTTCACTAGTTTCTTTTTGAATTTTTTTGGTATCCTCTAAACATTTCTCCCATTTCATTTTTGCTGCGATTTGTGCTATCTGAAAAACAGTTTGTAGCTGTGAATTTAATAACATTATTTTTTTTTAGCAATTAACACGAAAAGCTTACAATAATTATAAACTGTTATATTGTTATAAAAAATAAAGAAAAAAAATCATATTTTCAATTTCTGATACCATTATTAGAAATAGTGACATCAGAAATTGAACTCTAAGAATAACTTAATAATTATCTAATAATTTACCTGAAGACGATTACGTCGTAAATTGTGAAACCATCCCATACGGGAAAAAAGATGCTCACATGGAGCTGAATTAACTTTAATGCCAAACAATCGAAATGCAACCTTACTAATGTCTTTTTGATTTATAGCTGCAAATTCCCAATATCATATTAACGAAAGTGTAACTATGTTATTTGTTTTTACCTAAGTACCCTCTTCTTCTAAAATTGCATTAATAATATTTTTAAACCTTTTATCATTAAAAATACCCCCGTTTCATGTAATACTCTGTTAATTCTAATGAAACATGTTTTGATTTGTTATCAAACCATATTTCATAATAATATTCGACCCAATGAACTATTTGTTCAAGAGTAAAATAATTTTGGTCAGAAAATGCCTGAACACAAAAATACGGATGAAATACAGTTGCCAAAAAAAGTAAAGGTTGCTTCCAATTAGCCCAACGCTTTTCAAGTTTTTGTAACATCATATAACTGAATTCATCATTTTCATCCTCATATTGTTAAGCTACATATGTAAATGAATAAATAACATCAAAAAGATTAGCTGCATCTTGTTGCAGATAGTTTAAAATGCTAACAAATGGAATTAAGTGGTCTATAAGTTCGTCAAGATTTTTTCAGAATGTTAGATTATTAATAGCAGCCCGAGCCTTATAAGATAACTTGCTAGAATTTAAATGTAAAATCATATATGATTGCAAAGCCCGCTTATTTCTGATAAGAAATACAAAGCAGTAATAGTATGAATTCCAACGTGTAACTGTTGGACATACAAAATTATAACTTGCTTTATATATTCTTTGTTGCTCTTCATGAAGTAATGAAATTGCTTTCATTTATCTCTTATCAGTAAAGTATGTTATGATTTCTATGGCGCACTCAGCTACACATTTGTATTCTGATAAACATTTAAAAATATTGCCAAAGCATAAATTGGCCTGGTGTACGAAACATGGGAGGAATACTAAATCCGTTCTTAATAATCGCATTTAGCACTTAATATATAATATATTTAGTTAGAATAATGTATACGTACTAATCTGGCAGATTGGTAATTATTCAGAGAATTTATGTCACCAAAAGAAAACCCAATATAGACTATATTTAAATTGTCAGGTTTTCTTTTGGCGACACTCTTGATATTTTTATACATAGCAAAGCAAATTACTCGTTATAGTAAAAGCTAGTTTATATGTATAAAAACTCGATATAACGAGAATGGTTTGTATTATTAATATGTATAAAAGATTTACTAATCTACTAAATCGCTTTTATTATATAGTAATACTAAAATTATATAGTAATACTAAAATTACTGCTATTACATAATAATAACGTACCATGTTTAGACATAAAATAATGCACTATCAGTCACCATGGCTATTATGTTTAGATTTTGATTTTTTGCACGTTCTAAAAAAGCATTAATCATGTTTAACACATCAATTGTTTTGTGGCCAGTATTACTTATATTTTCAGCACCCCATATATATATTTTGTTGGTTGAAGAAAGAATAATTGCACCCAAAACCTCTTGATTGCATACATTCTTCCAACTATCAAACATGATTGTAACTGGTTCTTGTGTTTCTAAAAGCGTAGTGATCCAAGCACTTTCTAATCTTTCAGTATATTCTACAAGAATTTTTCTGCTAAGCGTTTGGCAGTTTGGAATTTTAATTGTAGAATTAAAAATAGAAACAAAATCATGAAAAGCTTTACTTTCAACAAATCTAAATGACAGCCTATTTTGAACCACCATATGAAGAAGTCAATAATTAAATTCATGCTGATCAATAGACAATAGACGAATGACAAAATTATTTAAGGTGCTATTTTTCGCTTGTACTTGGGTTGAAACAGGTGTTGAAGAACCAGTTATATTACTTTGTTGCCTCACTGCTTTAATTGTACTTAAAGCTAATTTTTCATCAGGTTTGTATACATCATTAATTCATGATCTTCTTCAGCCCAAAAATCATGCCAATATTGACATCGTTTCCAATAACGCTGTACACAGTCCTATCTATTAAAAAATCACTATTTTTCATAAACCTCCTATGATTCAAGACCTTCGTTTCTTCCTTTTTCAAAGAGTTTTTCATTACTTTCACAGGCTCTGCAAATGGTACGTTTAGTTTTTTGGGATGGAGCCAATTCATCTTGTATGTGTACATATTTCGTTAATCTATGAACATAGGTTTGAGGCATTTTTGCGATTCAATTTTATTTAACAATATTTTAATTTTGGCTATATATATATTTTGTTTTTATTGTTAACAAATATCGTTGGTATGTTTATAACACAGTCTTTTTATATTTGTTTTGCATTATATTCAAAGAGAAGTTACTCTATATATTACATTAAAAAAAAAAATAAAATAAAATATTATACAGTAATATATTAAATTTTTACAAATTTATTAAGTTGATAGAAAGTGAACAATGCAATTCTAATACCCACCTTGGAGTATAGACTAATGGTTTCATGCTTAACCAAGGCACAATGTGAGAGAATACATCAGCCAATAATTCGTTTGATTAAATGGAAAATGTCGATGCCCTCCACAATAGCAAATATAATAACAAAACATCCAGAGACAACAGCCCTCAAAAGTCTTTGGAATAGACATATGGAGCATCATATATCAGAGTTGCTAGTCAGACTAAATACACCAGGTCTTCTAGAAGAAACGACAACAAGGAGGCTCAAGCAAGGTCAGCTAAGAGCAAGTTCAACGAAGTGCATCTTAACAAATCAAACTATACTAAAATGAAAGGTCGTAATCTGGGGATAAACATTCTGCATTAAGCACACACTTTGGGTTTCGTTATAAAAAAAAATAAGGTTACAAAAAGCTAGAATATAGATTTTAAACAAACAGCGAATGACGAAGAGATTGCATGTATTCTCGAACGCCTGAATATGGCTTATATAAAGACAAAAGCAAGTGGCCTGGGCTTAATAGTAGTATCACAGCTTATTGCAAAAGATAGTATAACAATGCATATATGGGATCAATTTAGATTAGCACATGGTATAAGTTTAAAAGAGAAAAAACTAGGCTGGTTCACCAAATTAGAGAAAGAGATCCTAGAAGACCCCAGGTCAAGAAACGTCAAAAACAGATACAAATGTGAAATGAATAATAGTAATGCTCCTAACTTCGAAATAAAAGAAGTACCGTATCCTATCATGAATAAGCACTACACCCTCTACCCACTTTTTAAATATCAGATTAGCAGTAATAATTTGTTTTTGCTAATCTGACATTTAAAAATTAGAGTAAAGAATGTAGTGCTTATTCACGATAGGATACGGTAAGCAATAACAAAAGAGTAAGAAAATGAGTTTGTTAAAAAAAGAATACAAACGAACCTATTTATACAGGAAAAATTAAAGAAAAAGAAAACGTATATATAGAAGTCGAAAAATATAAAGAAATGATAGAGTATCAGGAAAATGAAGTTCAGCAGTTCCTAGAAATTGACAAGACAAGTGAAACGTACATGATTAAATGTAAAAAACTTGGAGATATCTCAAACATAGTTTGGAGAACAGAAAAAGGTGCAAGGTTGATCTTTGAAAAACAATATATAGAAAAAACATTTGAAAAAAAGGAGGAAAAATA